TCTATAAACATATAAAACAAAAATAGTGTAGCACAACCACACAATAAACCTATATACTAATCAATCATAAAATAAAGTGTCCATCATAGTAAGTGTGAACTTCATAAACGTGCCAATATCCAATCATCAAGTAGTGGTTGTTTTCAGACATTTAACTTAACACCCATGTGTGTTTTTCCTTTAATGGTACAAACTCTTAATCTCAATGTTGCTCTTCTCCATTCTCTTACAACTCAACGATGCACAATGATCATGCAAGAATAAGGAGACAGACCATAGTGCTCTGTATAAATAGATTTAATACTGCTAAAAAGTGGGATATCACTTACAGGATAAGGCACTCTACCGAGTCTCTACTCTCCTTTTGAAAGTACTTCATTTTTGAGCTGTTCTTGCAAATACACAGTAACAGCTCAGTACAGATCTTGTTAATCAGGGGGCCAAGGGTAATGGCTGATTGCATGGATGAGCATATTCCCAGCAGTGGGTTTTCTAAATTTAGTAGTTTTCAACCTATTTTCCATTTTTTGGATCCTATGATCCACAAACTAATTTTCACTTCCGACTATACAGTATAAGTAAAAAAAATGATGTTACTATAATTGTGATTTAATTATGTTGTAAAGAAAACCAAGTTTTTCACATGATCAGCACATCATCAAGGCAGCAATGTCCCATAATGACATGGCTTTTAAATGAATACATGATATACCCTCTGGGTTTTTTCCTACCGTCCCTGGTGGAGAAATTCATCCACACCAATGGCCATAATCACTTTTCTGTTTAAAGTATTGGCTATTGAAAATAAAGAAGTTATTATTATTTAATAAAATAATAAAAGTTCAGTAATGAGCTTACATACCAAGGAGTATCTCTTTTCCAGCTACTGGGCCATTGTCTCTAGTCTCTGACTCCACATCCAACCCCACAAGAAGGCAATCCTCTGAAACCGACATGTAATCTACGCAGGGCATCTCCTGACTCCTGTGTCCAATACATACAATGAAAGATCTGCTACCAAATCTTTCTTTTAACAAACTTACCTATTCATTCCAGATAACTTTCTATGCCTACAGTCAACATCCCAGGGGGCTTTACTCTGGTTTTATGCATCTTCAGTAGTAAAGTCTTCAGTAGTATATTAAAAGTTGGAATAGTTTACTCCTCCACACCAAGGTAATCCCATTCTTTTTTGGTAATCAGGCTCTCCTGGGAGGCTAGCTACAGCACTGCATTTATTTTCTTTGTCAATTCAAAAAGTGGTTATGATCACATTGACCATAACATGAATTCTCATGTCATTTATTATATTTTTACTCTGATTACTCCCCTAATAACCATTTGCTGTAGAGATTTTAGATCCTCCAAAGCTTTTCTATGGGTGAGATTGTCTTTTCCTATTTTTTACCAATTAATAAGGTAATTCTTTTGTAACATATTCAAAAAGTATGCACATATATATTGTTGCTCAGGGAGGGTGCAGATTTGGATTTATTTCCCAAATCTATTGCCGGGGGAATATCCACATCTGTCAATGAAGAATGTCAAAGAGGTCCAGCTTAAACTAGCTCCTGCTGGGTTATTTTTGTTGTATCATTCTCTAGATTTATGGAACACTCCCCCCCCCGTGTTTGATACAATAATGTAAAACAAACCCTACGCAGAAATAAACATAATTCTTGTTTGAATCACAAACTTTATCCCCGCAAATGGTAAGAGGAAAACCCAAACCTTCATTTGGAAGGCAAATATAATTCTTAGATATTTGGACATCAGATTAAATTATGGTGTTTTTGTTAATATTCACTATGTCCTTTTTTGTTTTTCCTGAATGTGAATTGGGAGGTGAGGGTCTCCATTAGTAAAAATGTTGTGTTTTTCCCTGTTTCTTTTCTTTTTTCACTCGTTCTTTTTGACTACCTTCTTAAAAAGAAAGCTGTGTTTCCTGTCTGCATGTATTATCTTCTACTTCAGTGAGTCTTTTACTTTAGTTGCTCCTAGATCTACTCCTACCCCTACATCTAGGCAGATTGAACATTTCTGCACTCTCCCAGTCCTCTCAAGTACTTCTTTTGTTTTCAGTCTTTTGTTCTTTCCGCACCTTCGCTACCTATTTTTTATGTTTCATAACATTTTTGAAAATCAGGTGTTATTTAAATTTCTCTAGCTTTGAAACACTATGTTAATGGTTTCCTCTAATTCCTTTAATTAAATCTTTTCCTTAACAATCATTTCTATCATATGTAAACTATGTTAATACTTTCATCTTTCCATCTATTAAAGAAGCAATCATTTCTCAATTGTTCAGCCAGGACAATTCTTTCCTGAAGTACCCATGGGATTACTTCTGTTTCAATGTAGGGCTCTAGAGAGACCGCATTTCATCTTCTTTTAAGATATTCAGTGACTAAAATGTCCATGTGCCCCAAACAGCCTTGATTCACCTGTTAATGGTAGTTCGCATCTCTTCCCTAATGTCTCTATCTATTTGTAAAGCCATGTGTCAATGTTACCTGCTTTATTTGGGCTAAAGATGGGAAAGTGATGTGGATAAATACAATCTTAATGATTTAGCCAAAATCCATTCCAACGAAGGAAATTTACTGTATACCAAATAACAATTACATAAACAAGAAAAAATAAAATCAGGGTTGTGACTGATCTGCACACAGATTTTCATCCCACCACTGTGCAACAAGTTAAGCACCAACATACTGAGGGCAGCTGTCACTATACACACAGTAGCTGTCACCAAACATTTTAAAGGAAATACTCATCATTCACTACATCTACTGTTGCCATTCTGACCTTGAAAACATTTGCTTTATGTGCTGCTGCCCCAAATAGAAATGTAATAGATTTTAGTTTATGGTAGCTTCTTCAAGGACACAGAATTTCTTAATTTTGCTACAGCATTTCAGAGATTCAGATATTTCAATTTTAAATATAATTTAATGAAAAGAAAAACAGAAAAATAAATATTTGCAGAGTGGGTATTAAAACACAAGCATAAGCAACTGTGAAAATAAAAAGTTTACAATTGAACTTTAATTTAATTAAACCTGTGAAGTTTACTTCATAGAATTCTGTAACATGTATTCACTATGCCCTGTGAGTAGGCACTGCTGTGTCACAGAATAGGTTTTGAGAGATAGCACGAGAATCACTGCTTGCAGGCAACACGGTACCATTGGATATGTAGTCTTTAGAAATCCAAACTAAACAGCAGAGGGGAAGCTTCAAAGTATGCAGGGAATCCAGTAAGTAGTGGAAAGAGATGGCCAGCAGAGAGGTAGCACTCACAATATAAAAGGGGTCACGTTCCTTGTACAAGAGCCTGACATGCAGAGGGAGGCCTCTCTTACAGTCCTGGCTAAAGGACCACTGATGTGACAGTGGGCGCTAGACCGCGGCAAGGTATGAGTGCCTATATGATGTTTTGTCGACAGAAGCGAGAGTATCAGGTGCATCACCAGAGATGGGTCCAGTACCTGGAACAGGAGATGACAGCAAAAAGAGCAGACCCAGAACTGGACAGACAGCAGGACATGGCAGGATGAATGACCAGCAGGAACGGGATAGCATGCAGAGCAGGACAGATGGACAACTGGATGCATGGTCAGATGAGCCAGGTCAGCAACAGACAGTCATATACAGGCATACACAGCAGGCAGAGAATGGTCAGAATACAGGAAGGTCAGCAACACTGGATCAAGCAGATGAGCAGGAGGCAGAGCAGAGTCCAAAGACAAACCAAGGACAGATAACGTTCAAGTGTGGTCAGGATAAGTCAGGTTGATTACAGAAGTCGAACACAGGAATAGATGCAGGAACACAGGTAATTGCTAATTGCTGGAGATCAGACAGCGCCGGCTAATACAACTCAGGGATGTGCAATTCCTATCGCCCGATACCTGGGACATGTAGTTTCAGGTGCCAGGCAGGTAGCTTTTTTTAACGTTTAGCCCTGCTGCGGGCAAACACTTGTCCAGCATGTGATCAAAATAAAAAAAAGTTAAGTAAAAAACCCTTTTTTTTTTAAAGTATAAAAATTTAAGTTACACCCAAGCACATAACCCCCCCCCCCCCTAACATATATGCAGGTACATACAGTATCTCACAGAAGTGAGTAAACCCCTCACATTTTTGTAAATATTTTATTATATCTTTTCATGTGAAGACGCTGAAGAAATAATACTTTGCTAAAATGTAAAGTAGTGAGTGTACAGCTTGTATAACAGTGTAAATTTGCTGTCCCCTCAAAATAACTCAAAACACACAGTCATTAATGTCTAACCCGCTGGCAACAAAGAGAGTACACCCCTAAGTGAAAATGGTCCAAATTGGGCCCAGTGTGTCAATATTTTGCTTGTCCACCATTATTTTCCAGCACTACCTTAACCCTCTTGGGCATGGAATTCACCAGAGCTTCACAGGTTGCCACTGGAGTCCTCTTCCACTCCTCCATGCCGACATCATGGAGTTGGTGGATATTAGAAACCTTGCGCTCCTCCACCTTTCATTTGAGGATGCCCCTCAGATGCTCAATAGGGTTTAGGTCTGGATATATGCTTGACCAGTCCATCACCTTTGCCCTCAGCTTCTTTAGCAAGGCAGTGGTCACCTTGGAGGTGTGTTTGGGGTCGTTACGTTGAACTACTGCCCTGCGGCCCAGTCTTCGAAGCGAGGGGGATCATGCTCTGCTTCAGTATGTCACAGTACATGTTGGCATTCATGGTCCCCACAATGAACTGTAGCTCCCCAGTGCCGGCAGCACTCATACAGCCTCAGACCGTGACACTCCCACCACCCTGTTTGACTGTAGACAAGACACATTTGTCTTTGTACTTCTCACCTGGTTGCCACCACAAACACTTGACACCATCTGAACCAAATAGGTTTATCTTGGTCTCATCAGACCACAGGACATGGTTCCAGTAATCCATGTCCTTAGTTTGCTTGTCTTCAGCAAACTATTTGCAGGATTTCTTGTGCATCATCTTTAGAAGTGGCTTCCTTCTGGGACAACAGCCATGCAGACCAATTTGATGTAGTGTGCGGTGTATGGTCTGAGCACTGACAGGCTGACCCCCCCACCCCTTCAACCTCTGCAGCAATGCTGGCAGCTGTCACGATATACGGTCAGGTTCAGAGACCAGTTGCTATAGCAGTAAAAGGCTTACCTGAACCAGCAGGATAGGTACACCAGCGGATCCCCCTGGGAATGACGTAGGCTCACCTGAGGTGCGGGGTCTAAGTATTAACCGGTATTCACCAGAGCTCCTAATGGTGGAGATGGATTGGGCTGCATGTTAATACCAGGTCGCAGATCTCAGGATCACCCCACCAGGGAATGAGCAGACTGGGAACCAATAGCGGATCAACAGGTTAGGGATCAGACGAAAGCAGAGTCAGTCACAAGCCAAGGGTCAGTCACAAATGGTAGCAGATCAATCGTAGTACGTTAGGATGAGACGAAATCGGGGTCAGGAACAAGCCAAAGGTCAGTAGCGGAGGTGTAGACAGCAGCAGGAACAGTAGCGGGATATTGGCTGGAAAGGCACAATAATCTGGCAAGGAGGAAGTGCATGGACATGGCTTTTATAAGGAAGTTCATAGGAGGAGCAAGGAGTTCAAGGTTCAAGAGTAATCAAGGAAGGATTATCCAAGAATTGTCAAGGGAGCTGTCCAGCATTCCAGATAGCTCAGTGAGAAGAGACATTGCCTCTCACTGCAGAAGGACCAGGTTCGATCCCAGGCTCTGACAGCAGCGCTCACATGTCTATTTCCCAAGGACAACCTCTGGATATGATGCTGAACCCCTGCACTCAACTTCTTTGGTTGACCATGGCGAGGCCTGTTCTGTGTGGAACCTGTCCTGTTGAATCGCTGTATCGTCTTGGCCACCATGCTGCAGCTCAGTTTCAGGGTCTTGGCAATATTGCTATAGTCTAGGCATACATCTTTATGTAAAACAACAATTCTTTTTTTCAGATCCTCAGAGAGTTCTTTGCCATGAGGTACATGTTGAACTTCCAGTGACCAGAGAGCGTAAGAGTGATAACACCAAATTTAACACACCTGCTCCCCATTCACACCTGAGACCTTGTAAGCACTAATGACACTGGGGAGGGAAAATGGCTAGTTGGGCCCAATTTGGACATTTTCTCTTAGGGGTGTACTCACTTTTGTTGCCAGTGGTTTAGACATTAATGGCTGTGTGTTGAGTTATTTTGAGGGGACAGCAAATTTACACTGTTATACAAGCTGTACACTCACTTTACATTGTAGCAAAGTGTAATTTCTTCAGTGTTTTCAAATGAAAAGATATAATAAAATATTTACAAAAATGTGAGGGGTATACTTTGTGAGATACTGTAGGTAAACGCACATGACGGGATGCTTATGCATTAAAAACGTCGATTGCGATGCTCATGTTACATATCGCCGTGCACACCAGAATGAGATCAATAATTCTAGCACTGGACCCCCTCAATAACACTAAACTAATGACCTGTAAGGGGCTTTAGAAGCATCGTCTCTAGGGTACTAAAGTTTGTCACCATTTCACAAGCACATGCAAATGTAAGGTTTGACATGTTGGATATCTATTAACTTGGTGCACCCTCATCTCTTATATTTTACCAAAAAATTGGGTAATTTAATGCCTTTTTGTGCCCTAAAATTAACGTAAGTGTATTTTTTACAGAAATTTTGCTTTTCCTAGACCTTTGTGATAATATCCTGAGACATATAAATTTGAACTACCCTTATTTTATTCTCTAGGGTCTCTGTTTTCAGAAAATATATAATGTATTGGGGGATTTATGTAATCTTCAGGCCTAAAATTATTTTTTAAACGTGTGCAAAATACGGAAAAGGGGCTGTGGCAGCAAAAGGGATAAAGGATAAGTTCACCTCCAGAAACATGTTACATGTTTCACCCGTTTTTAGGATGGAACATGTAACATGTTTCTGCTCCTGCAGTGGTTCTGTGATCCCAGCCCTCTGTGTGACAACAGTGTGAGGAGAAGTTCCCTGTACCAGCTGTCACTTTTTTAAAAAGAGTGCGGCCGTGCGGGGCTCCACCCACATGGCCGTGTCATCCATCCGTGTCAGAGTTCTGTGAATGAATCAGCTATGAGTATCGACATCCTTTGTGGATGTCTGCTTGTAGTTTACAATGAACTGCCACGGCGCTGTTGAGCTCTCTGGTAGTTCATTGATTCTTCCTGTCAGTGTGAAACTGCCTTCCTGTGCTATGTACAGACAGACAGCTTACACCAACAGTGTGCAGGAGTCCTGCATGGCACCAGCGATTTGCTGATGCAATGCTTTTCAGGCTCCTTCAAACAAATGTGCATTTATTTATTTTTTAAAGTTGAACTTAGCCTTTAACAGAGCGGACGCTGGCTCTTGATTTGACTGCTTGGAATGCGCTTGTACTGAGCACCCAAGTGCTTCCGTGTGTGAGGGTAACCTGAAGGAATATGTTTTTTTTTTTCTCATTTGGGCATGAAGTAGAGCTGTACTGCGTGCCGTGGAGGATATTGGTTGCGGACGAATTGCATTAATAGGGGAAACAGCTTAAAGAGGCATTGTTAATTAAAACGAAAACTCTCTTGTACCCATAAAAAAAGTTTGATTTCTTTGCCATGCTGTGTTCTGAGTCTCATAGACATACAGTTGCAAGAAAAAGTATGTGAACCCCTTGGGATTACGTGGAGTTTTGCATGAATTGGGCATAAAATGTGCTCTGAACGTCATCTAAATCACAACAATAGAAGAACACAGTCTGCTGAACATAATACTACACAAACATTAGATGTTGCCATGGTTTAATTGCACATAACATGTAAACATTCACAGTGCAGGGAGGATAAAGTATGTGAACCTTTGGACTTAATAACTGGTTGACCCTCCTTTGGCAGCAATAACCTCAACCAAACGTTTCCTGTAGTTGCAGATCAGACCTGCACAACGATCTGGAGTAATTTTGGACCACTCCTCTTCACAAAACTGTTTCAGTGTAGCAATATTCTTGGGATGTCTGGTGTGAATCGCTCTCTTAAGGTCATGCCACAGCATTTCAATCGGGTTGAGGTCAGGACCCTGACTGGGCCACTCCAGAAGGCGTATTCTGTGCTGTTGCAGCCATTGTTTTGTTGAATTACTTGTATGCTTTGGGTCATTGTCCTGTTTCATCACCCATCCTCTGCGGAGCTTCAGTTGGCGGACAGATGGTCGTTCCTTTTTTCTGCAAAATGTCTTGATAAACTCTGGAATTCATTTTCCCATCAATGACAACAATCCGTCCAGGCCCTGAGGCAGCAAAGCAGCCCCAAACCATGATGCTCCCTCCGCCATGTTTCACAGTGGGGATGAGGTTTTGATGTTGGTGTGCTGTGCCTTTTTTTCTCCACACATAGTGTTGTGTGTACCTCCCAAACAACTCAATCTTGGTTTCATCTGTCCACAGTATATTTTGCCAGTAGTGCTGTGGAACATCCAGATGCTCTTTTGCAAACTTCAAACGTGCTGCAATATTCTTTTTGGACAGCAATGGCTTCCTCCGTGGTGTCCTCCCATGTACTCCATTCTTGTTTAATGTTTTCCTTATTGTAGATGTGTCAACAAAAATGTTAGCATGTGCCAGAGATTTCTGTAGGTCTTTAGCTGACACTCTGGGATTCTTCTTTACCTCATGCAGCATTCTGCGCTGTGCTCTTTCAGTCATTTTTACAGGACGACCACGCCTGGGGAGAGTAGCAACAGTGCTAAACTTTCTCCATTTGTAGACAGTCTGTCTTACCGTGGACACATGAATACCAAGGCTTTTGGAGATACTTTTGTAACCCTTTCCAGCTTCATGCCAGTCAACAATTCTCGATCGTAGGTCTTCTGAGAGCTCTTTTCTGCGAGGCATGGTTCACATCAGACAGTGCTGATGTGAACCATACCAGTAAACCCAAAACAGGTGTGTGTTTTTTAAGGGCAGGACAGCTGTCAGCAACACATCCAATATCATCAAACTGATTGGAGTCAAGGTTGGCTCACTCCTGGCTCCAATTAGCTCTGGGAGAAGTCATTAAGTTAGGGCCTCACATACTTTTTCCTCCCTGCATTGTGAATGTTTACATGTTATGTGCAATTAAACCATGGCAACATCTAATGTTTGTGTAGTATTATGTTCGGCAGACTGTGTTCTTCTATTGTTGTGACTTAGATGACGTTCAGAGCACATTTTATGCCCAATTCATGCAAAAACTCCACGTAATCCCAAGGGGTTCACATACTTTTTCTTGCAACTGTATACAAACCTCAGCATAATCATTTTCTAAAAATAAAAATCTTCCATTACATATGATTTTGTGTACACTGGAAAAAGACAGATAGCTAACACTTTACTTTAAATAAGAAAATAATTAAAACAGTCAGAGATGGCTTAACAACCAGCAACTGTTGAAACAATGAACACTTTGGTCAGAAGTCTGCAATGTATAGTACAGTGTACAGAGTGCAGGAGTCTGTAATGTGCAACATAGCTTACGTACATGGTTAGCTTTTATTTTATTCAGCCACAAATGAAGTGGATAGAGTAGCTGATGCTTGGAATAAACTTCCAGCACAGGTAGTGAGCCAGTCAACAGTAAATGGCTTCAAACATGCTAGGAACAAACATAGATCTACAGTATACTCAAAACAAAAAAGCCCCACAAATATAACAAATGGCCACTCACCTTAAATTTTAACCTATATTTTCATACAGGTCTAGAAGTGCTCAAAACAGACTGTTCAGCGTCGGACTGAGCTGGATGACATCACTTCCATGTCACGGCTGGGACCTGAAGGAGTGGAGAGACGATTGCCGATTGTATCCTGTATACACACACAATATGCATACACTCAAGGATATGAGTGTTTTTAATATTTTGTGACTGTGATTTTAAATTAATAAATACTGAAAATCACTTAGCAATATTTGGAATCACCATTTTGTGGACATGGACTAGTACAAACTGTTGCACAATTAATTTATTTAAGAAATGTGGACTTTAATATATGTTTTTTTTCACATTATTATTGCACAGCATTTGTCTTTGGGATTAATCCCCAGTAGGGGTAAAACTGTAACAATTCTTTGTTTATATTACACAGCACTTTGATTGTGGGATTAGTACTCAGGGTGTTTTTTTGCACTTGCACTTTGTATATATATGTGAATGTATCACCATAGTATATACCATAGTTGAGTATCAGGAAACAAGATAAGAGGTAGGATTTTTATTATTCATTTATCTTAAGCACATTGGTTGGTAATTTAAAAATTTAGTTTAATTTACGGTATTATTATACACAAGTTTTACCATTAGAACTGAGCACCACACTGCTGCTATATGAAATTAATAATTGGATTAATGTAGGGATACATACAGTGTAGGCAGGTCTGTTTAAAATATTCAGTAATATCAATATCCTAGTTTTTAGCATGCAAGTATCTTAGCTGTGTTTTTCCTATATTAAACATGAATGGGATTGCCTGCACGTGGATGCATGGAACATCTGTGCATCCTGTACAGGCAAAAACAGCCCTTCGCACGGATGAATTCTCCCCCTTCAAATCCCTCTTGCCATGTCCCCAAATCCTTTCTCTTAGCACAAATCCACCCCCCAACTTCACTCTCCTAGCAAAAACACTCTCTCTGAGTAAGAAGGCCACAATCAGGGAGTCGTCTGCAGGAAAACCCATCTCCACCCTCAGGAGCTCTGATGAAGACAAGGTGGCTCCTTGTCTTCATCTGCGTCTCAACCCTCTTAAGGGCTCTCACCTTCACTGTACGTGCAGGCTTGCTGGGTTCCATCACCAGTGCCAATAGATATCCTGTCTATTCAAGACTCCTCACACACTCCAACTGTATCCAGCTCCCAGCACCCTCTGGGCCTCCTTTGCACCTCAATGTTCCTTGGACATCCCATCACCACTGTGTCCTAGTGTGTCCAGTACCCCTGAACTCGAATTGACCTTTGCTAGTATGCAAGTGACATTTGCTTGCTCCTACCTGACAGTAAGTTAAGTATTCTATGCTGCAAGATACCCCTGCACTCCTGCCTACCTGTAATT